ATGAATCAAGTTTTTTAGCCATTCTTGGATCGATTCGTTGTAGCGTACTTGGATGACATCGTAGTATATAGCAAAACACTTGATGAGCATGTCGAGCACCTACGCCATGTCTTCCAAGTACTTCGCGACAACGAGTTGTATGTCAAGTGAGAAAAGTGCACATTTGCAGATGCTTTCTCACACTTGGGCCCCGTCTCAATTCCTTTCAGCTCACATCATATACTGGGATCGGGCTCAGTTCACCGGCTTCAGTTCACGGTTGTGAACTCCTCAACGCGTCCATGAACTCGGAGTGTTGTGTCAAAACGCATCGCTTCACTCACTTGAGTTCACGGTCTTGGTGATCATGAACTCACTCGGCGTCAGTAACCTTTGAAACAGCCCTGGACGCTTCGTGGTTCACGGTTTATGGTTCCAGTTCATGGCATTAGGAGACCGTGAACTCCAATGGGAAACTGTGAACATGGCCTAAATCACTCTCTTTGTCCGGTCTTTGCTCCTTTTTTTCCAACTTTCGACTCCGGTGCTGGTTTCACCTGTTAGATCCTGAAACACACTGAAACATGAGAAACCTAGCGTAAAACTAAACTTTTAAGAGCACAATTTCCACAAACGCCTAAGGGAAATGGGGATAAAATGTGTACAATTAGACCCGAATCAATGCATCTCAAACCTGAGTTTGAACCACTTCGAGCAACCCTTATCAACCGTAAGCATCTGCAACTTGATGGCGTGCTCAAGAGTCTCATTCGCGAAGAGACGCGACTCTGTACACAAGCATACCTGTACGCACATCCTGGTCAAGGAGACTTCCCGGCGTTTGGTGCCATGGCTGGTCTCCAATCCTCCGGTACGGGCGCCTCTGGTGTTCGAGCACCCCTCTTGGCTGGCGGGTTCGTTACTCCCTCGGCCGGGGGGATTGATCTTTTTTGCAAGGTATGGATCCACAGGTTCTGTCGGCTTTCCAGCCTCAATTACAATGCCTACCGCAATCTCAGGTGGAGTCTCACCATTGCAAGGAGAAGGGGCATACTCAAAAGTATTTTTGTGCTCGTAATTTTTGTGTCTACTGCAAAAGAAAGGGCCATATTATTGCAGAACCCTTCAACGTCACATGAGTGGTGGTTTTTCTCTTGAAGGCAGCAGTGGCGGACACAACACCAACTCGGGTTCCTCCCCATGTTCTGTCTATGCAACCCAGGCTGCTCCCAATGCCGATGGAGTCCTGGTCTCCCCCGCTTTGTTGGAACAGATGGTGAACAAGGCTATCTCTTCCGCCTTTGCCAGTCTTTTGGTCTTTGGTAAGATTCCTCCCTGGATCTCGATTCGGGTTGCTTTAACCACATGAATAGCAATCTTTCGGCCCTTAAGCATGTCTCTCCAGTTCATAATTTGTCTCTTAAAGTTGCGGATGGTAATCGGTTACAAGTTTCGGGTATTGGTTCTGTTCATGGGTCTAATGTTCATTTACCCGCTACGCTAGATGTTCCACGTTTAGTGCATAATCTTGTATTTGTTGGACAACTTACTAAAAAAGGTTGCCATGTTATTTTTTCACCGTCTGGTTGTGTTATTCAGGACCTGAAGATGGGGAGGCATCTCGCGAGGGGTAGCAAACATGGCTGCATATTTTAGCTGGATGAGCTGGCCGCCGCACCCACATCATCATCATTGTCCAGTTCTCATTCGCTGTCTAAGGTATCCTTTTCTTGTCCCATTTTTTTGAGTCCTGGTGAGCAGAATTTTCTCTTGTGGCATTCCCGGCTAGGTCACCCACATTCGAGTCCTCTTGAGACTATGTTTCGACAAAACTTATTTGGTAGCAAAGTTGACATTGGCCGGATTTCAGATTTTGCTTGCACCAGTTGTGTGGAGGCTAAAACCACCCAGATTTCTTTTTCGTCTAGTACTATCATTATTCATGAACCCTTTCACTTGATTCATACTGATTTGTGGGGGATGAGCCCGGTTACCTCTCGCCATGGTTATAAATAATTTGCCTTATTTATTGATCATGTGACTCGTTATACGTGGGTTTATTTTCTTCGTCTTAAATATGATCTCCTTGCTATTGCCACTGAATTTCTTGCTATGATCCAAAATCAGTTTAATAGGTCTGTTGGTGTAGTCCAGTCAGACCCAGGTGGTGAGTTTAGCTCCACTCCTTTTCTTAACCTCTATAAATCTCTTGGTATTCTTACCCATAAGTCCTGTCCTGGTGTGTCACAACAAAACGGTTTGGTCGAACGTAAGAATCGCCATGTGGTTGAGGTCATGCGTGCTCTCCTTCTGTCATCTCATGTTCCGTCTTCATTTTGGCCTGAAACAGTTTACACTGCTGTTCATCTGATTAATTACCAGATTACTCTTCCTCTCCTGTGTCGAGTCCTCCTTTGTTCAATGAGTCCTTAGGTCTTCCCTCTTTTCCAGATGATGATGATGATGATGATGATGATGATGAGCCCAATGAGCCACCCGTTGCTCCCTCCCCTCTGTCGTCTCCGCTAGCATCTCCTCCACCCTTGCGGCGCTCTAACCATTCCACTCTTGGCCAGCCACCATTTCGCCATCGCGATTACCTTTCCTACAGTGTGGAGTCTATTCTAGTACTGACACGCTACTCAAGGGCACACGACATTCCACATTGAGATTAAGCTATGACTGAGGAATTTCGTGCTCTTGATGCTAATAAAACGTGGTCAATCATTCCTCGTGCACCTCCTCCAGTTCCTGTAATTGGCAGTAAGTGGGTCTATGCCTTGAAATTTCCTCTGGATGGGACTTAGGAGTGTTTCAAAGCTCGGGTGGTTTCTCAGGGCTTCTCCCAGGAATATGGTGTTGATTTTGTAGAAACCTTTACCCCGGTTGCAAAGATGCTTTCTGTTTGATCTCTCCTGGTTGTTGCATCTATTCGTCGATCGCCGCTTTATCAGCTGGACGCCAAGAATGCCTTTTTGCATGGCGACCTTAATTAGACCGTCTATATGGAGATCCCCTTGGCTATCCTCATGCTGATCGAACTACTCAGGTGTGTCTCTTTCACCGGTCTCTCTATGGCTTGAACCAAGCACCCCGTGCTTGGTTTGAGAAATTCCAGTCTACTATTATTGATCTTGGTTTCATTCAGAGTCAGAATGATCCCTCTTTGTTTACCCGTTGATCCTTGCATTGCTTGGTTGTTCTGTTATTATATGTGGATGATATGATTGTTAGTGGCGATGATGAGGAAGGAGTTCGAGCTCTCACTGCGGGTCTTCATGCCTCCTTTCGCCTCAAGGAATTGGGATCTCTCTCTTATTCTTGGGCTTGAGGTTCATCGCTCCTCAATAGGTATTCATCTCACTCAGCAGAAGTTTATCGATGATCTCTTAGACATGTCTCACTACTTTGATTGTACGCCAGTTTCCATGCCTATAGAGCTCAATCTGAAGTTGGGGAAGGAATCCAGTGATATGTTGAGTGATGGGGGTAAACACTATCATAACATCGTCGACAGTCTGATTAATCTTACCTCGACGCGTCCTGATATTGCTTATGCTGTGCAGATAGTGAGTCAATTCATGTCTGCACCTCGTACTGTACTCATGGATGCAGTGCATCGGATCTTGAGATATTTATAGGGGACACGTAGCGTTAGTCTATTTCTCCCATCGTCTAGTTCTTCTGTGCTATAGGCTTTTTCTGATTCTGACTATGCAGGGTGTATCGATACGCGTCGGTCTACAATTGGATGGTGTGTTCGGCTAGGGGAGTCATTCATTTCATGGCGATGTAAGAAACAAGACAGAGTATCTACGTCCTCTACTGAGGCTGAGTATCAAGCGATGTACGCAGTCACTTCTGAGCTCGAGTGGATATAACGTCTCTAAGGCGATCTTGGTGTTGTTTGAGAATCGCCCATGCATCTTTATGTGGACAATACGAGCGCTATTCGAATTTCCACGAATATCGTCCTTCATGATCGTACTAAGCGTATTGAAGTTCATATTCACTACATTCGAGATATGGTTCGTGATGATAAGATCCGAATTTTCCATGTTACTTTAGAAGACCAGATTGATGATCTCCAAACCAAGGCCTTTTCTGCAAGTCGCCATTCTTATATCGCAGGCAAATTGATGTTACGAGACCGCAATTAATTTGGGGCAGGCTGTCGAGTGATGGGCCTCGGCCCATGCATATATATAGGCCTAGGTTAGGAGAGTAACCCTAGAGCGGATTACCATGCTAGTATCGGCTAGGGTTTATGTACAAATATTCATGTACTTTGTACCATTGACGAATAAGAAGAACAAAAACTTGCCTTTGTGCCGTGGATTAGTCTCGACAATCACAGTCAAGAATACCACGTAAATCTGGTGTCTCTCTGTTCAAATCATTTCTTTTTCGATTATATTTCCGTATTCTGTTTCGAGTAACAGTAAGTTGTAACTTGTAGTTTTAAAGCTACAAATAGAAATCCGATTATCAACAAAAAAAAGCTACAAATAGGGGTAAATGCCACGTTTGGTCACTGGGTTCACTAAAACATGTCATATTTAGTTCACTGGGAAAAAAATAATATCAATTTTGGTCACTCGAATTCGTAAGACGGTCCACGTTTAGTCACTCTTCGATAACACCGTCAGGCAATTGTTTAAGTAGCTAACAGAAGTGGTGACTCACCCTTTTTGAACCCACCACATCATCAAACCCGATCCACCACGTCACTCAACCTGACATTTGATCTTAAGGTACAATTAGTTAAGCTCACTATAAAAATAATAGCACATGTTATGCATGATGTATGAAGTATTAAGCATTGCTAAAATCGCCATGTTAACTACATTCTCATATTTTCTGCAAAAGAAAAAACATCTAAGAACTTCCTCATTTTATTATTTACACCATCCTTTGTATTCGTATTTTCTTTACATGGAACATACCAAGGGTGCACATAATACAACACATCGAATTAAGAAGCGAGTTGGCTTCAAAACAAGATTAATTGAGTGAAAACATCATGGAATAGGAGGTGTCTTAGATAAAAAGGAGAAGAAATGTGGATGTGGGTATCTAAACAGGGGAGGCGGAAGAGGCGGAAGAAACAAAAGAAAATTTATCTGAGAGGTTGCTTCGATTGAGAGGAGAAATGAGCTCCATTTGTTGTCTAATGAATTGCACGTCATGTACCAAAGGATTGCTTGTTCTTCTTGGTGGTGATCCAGAATAGCACCATGGTACGCGCCAATAACTATTACATATTGGCGTCTCTCCCTCCATTTCCTCGTTGCATTCCGATGTTCTCTGCAATGTATATAAAAATAAATATTTCTCCAATGAGGATATTTTCCCGAAAAACAAAATTGACAACTCCAAATTTGTTTGAAATTCAAAATTCACGGGGTCTATTAACCTTGTTGTTGTTATCGAGAATGACATTGAGAATACCTTCATTCCCTCCATCGTCAACTGTGTCAAAATGGCTGATAATAAGCAAAGAATGAATGAGGATAAAATATAAAAAAGTGTGAGTGAGTATAAAGAGAAAACAAAAGGAATGCATGCAGAGACATTACTAAACCTGTGTTTGGTACAATAAGTGGGAGGTTTGAGGAACTCTATCGTAGGCGATGGATGGATGTGCCTAGGTTTGGGACATAGTATGTGATTGGTTTCTTGGTTGATATTGTTAGTGTTTGGAACTGAGATTGAATCACCAAGTAGGTTGCTTTTTTTCTTAACCCCATGGCGACAACGATGCATGTTAAGTATAATGTATTGTACGTGTAGTATGAGTATGATCTAAAATCACAGAAAAATTTTGTTTTTCCCTTTTTCCACTATCAGCTTGATGCCAATCTTATCTGAAACAAATTAAGGCTCTAGTGTAACTATGGAGGCAAAGAGTAGTTTGATGATACAATTTTGTTTTTGGTAGAATGGTATAGACTTTTTTGATAAGATGAAACTTGTTGAAGTTGCTTGTTCCTAAAATAATGATGGGAGTGAAGAGAAGCAAATAAGGTGTCGGAATGCTTTGCTTGGTTGCGAGTGAATTTAGGAGCTCGACGAGTGGAGGGGAAAGAAAGGAGGGAATTTTGTCTGTCGAGAAAGACAGAAAGAAAACAGTCATCGACTTGACCCATTTGGCATTCTCCCATTTCCTCCTTATTTATCTCTACATAAATAGCGCGCTTTGGTCCACCCTCTTCCTAATCCCTTCGGTCCAATTATTTCTCATTTATTCTCCCCGTATTGTACTTATCTCTTTGCATGTATTAGCTTCTCATCTTTGCATCAACATTATATAATATTTAGAGTACTTGACATATTATTTAGAGTACAAATCGCAAGTATGATAAACCAACACTTTGAAATCATAACCATCCATTGGAGGAAATGAAGGCATAAGCATCTCATGTTTCTCATGCTCAAAAGAAGAGTCACCACTCAGGGATTGGATCAAATGAGTGGGATAGGTAAGTTCATACTCTACTTGTCTTGCACTATCGTTCAATGAAATCCAACCATTCCAATAAAATAGAGCATGCAAACCAAAACTGAAATTTTGAACTTACATTATTTGTAAGAGAATGAGAGCACAATCATGAAAATGTGATCACTAATTGACCCGATAGAAATAAACAGACGATCATAATTTATCAAAAAATTCAACTTTAGCTTAATATTTGTTCTTCATCCCCTTCGTTATGGAACTAATATTGCAAATGCAGTAGGAAGAACACAATTTGATATGTTGCTATAAACCAATTAAATCAATTGTCCCGTTATGTTAAGATTAAATTTGGCTTTACGGAGCGGGAGCCGAACAACATTAACTATTTAAAAATTATATTATTGAATTATTTTAACAACTTGATTACTATAAACAAAAATCACATATTGTCAAACTATAAAGCCATTTTACTTGGAAAGGGCTCGAGAGATCACAAGAGTTCATTCTAATTTCTAAGGGACGAGACTTGTTATAGAAATTTGGTGTAGGCGATGTGTGAGAATAAACACGTTAGGGAGGCTAAAGAATTCGTGTTCAAGGATGTGCTTAAAGAATGGACGATTATACTTTACATATGGAGTGAAAGGAAGGAAGGTTGTTACAGTAGGAGGGCCTAAATCTTAATCATTAACCCATGCAAGGTGGAACGTAAACATCAGTGAGCTAGAAGGATGGACATGAAGCATATGCTTGTACTTAAAGGTGCCTAGCTTTGATTAGGAGTTATAACAGCTCGATAAACAAGGTGAGTGTATAGGAGATAAAATCTCCGTCCAGGTCCTTTAGACTATGTCTTTTACTTCAAGTTATGTCGTTAGTTTACGAGTTATGCGCATTTATTTATTTGAGATATCCCACCGCCTTCTGAATGTGGAGGCACGTGTTGTGCTTGTTTGTGTGAATGAATGTGAGTGTTGATATATGTGGATTTTAGTATGATGAGACGTAACGCAGTAGTTGACCGGGCATGGTGCTGGACGGTGAGACATAACGCAATACCATTGCTTTTGAGGTAGGGACAACAGACGGTGAGACGTAACGCGGTGGTCCCTAGTAATTATGTATATCAGTTAAGAATTATAAAGGATGAAAGTGAGAACTACTTTCATGTAGGAAGGGAAATTCTAATAACGTTAAATATTAAGGAAAGGCTTAAGGCAGGGAAATTAGGTGGTAGTAACGACGAGAAGGACCCCTTCTCACTCACCAGGTAAAGGAAGGGTTAGCGGATGGGTATTTTGAGAAGAGGTACGGCAAGACGAGCAGCCGCACCAGCATTGACGAGATCTCATAGAGCTTAGTAAGAAGCTAGAGCTAGAATTGTTTAGTTATTTATGTTTCATGATTATGAGTATAAACTGGAGGTTTACAGGTTAAGTTTTATTGACTATGGATTGAGTCCTCCCAAGTGTTTAGGGAATTTCATTTGGATTTCTTTGGAAATGATTATGTTGTATTTGTTTTATCGAAATTTTTAAACATTGTTTTGGTATCAAAGCCGTCATTTCTATGTTTCTTGGTCTCTAAGGAATACTAGAGTGAAGGTCTTGGTTTTTAAAGGTTTATGTTTTTAAAGGAAAGGAAAAAGGACTTTCAGGTTAAATGTTTGGCCAAACGAGTAAAAGATTTCTTTTTAGGATTTATAAAATCTCCAGTATACACTAATCATGATAAGAAAAATAACTATAACTCTAAGGAGTCCCGCACGAGGCTAGGATACATCCTGGAAGAGAGAGTGGATTCCTATGAGGATCGTTAGGTGGATCCCTTCAAGGACGTCGACAGACAGTTGGCAAGGAATTACAACAAGTGGCGGCCATCATCGAGAGGAAAGGATGCAAAGCTTCGTTAAGTCACAAGAATCGAATTTAGGGCTACGATCTCAAGGAGCCGGTGGAAATTTAGACTTTAAGTAACACTAGGGACACATAAGCAAAGCAAATGAGGAATTAAGTAGGTTATAGGGAGCCTGACAAGATTTCAAGGGATCAATAGGTCAAGGCTAGGAGGAGGCACGTTCGTGTACATACATTGACTGAATCCCTTGTGGATACAATATGCCCTTAAGAAGAGGGATCGTGGGCCTAGGGAACTAGGCCAACGACAAGTCTTGGAAATGAAAGAGACTATCATCGAGATAAACGTTGTAACGAGTACGGTTGGAGCAAACGCACTATGTAACCATTAAGTGCAAGCTAGAGGATAAGGGATACAAGGAACTCCTACCGGAGGGTGATACATTCCGTGATAGTAAAAAAAAAATCAGGTTGAGGGGAACCCATGGTGAGGGTAGCCGGGTTTAAGTAACCAAGGCGAGAGGTGACGCCAACTAAACCGAGGTATGAGGAGGGATCCGAGAGTCCCTACCAATTAAAATAGTCATGGAAGGTCAAAATTCCAAGGGACATAAGGAGTATCGTCGGGCCAAGGTAGGCTAAGAGTTAGAATCTCGCAACTTGCCATGAAAAAGTCATCAAGCCAGCCGAGTAATAGATAAGCAAGTAGAACGTTAATGGAAGCTCTAATAAAGGACTTATGTAACATACTAGGAGAGAGCAAGAATGAAAAAGGAAGTTTGAGGAAAGTTCCAAAGTCAATTAGTTCAGTCTAGGGTGGGAGTCGTGAACCCCTTTGAGCCTGTATCGCTAAATCACGTAGTGATTGGTAAACAATCTAAATATAGTGATGGACCTCAGCATTCCATCTCGAAGGCCATGACTGGGAAATGTCATTAGTAACGTTGGAGAGTGTATGAAGTTGAGGAAGGACATATAAGTTCCTAGATAAGGGAGTTGGGAATGTGGGTAAGTGACTCGAGCTTAAGAAACTACATAAAGGAGTATGATGAGTTTCCGAGAAATAGGGAGCAAAAAGTTACCTATCCAAGGTGCCCCACTCTCAGTGGGTGAAGCATGGTGGGATGACATGAAGAGGAGGTGGATAGTTAAGGATAAATCATATACATATTAATAAGCCACTACGAACCTGAACTAACAGATTTAGGTCATGACCAAGCATAGACATGAGTGAAAGACGTGGGTGACATATGCTAAAGTCTACCTAGAGAAAGCCTCTAGTGGATATGTTTACTTTGGGAAACAATGAGGAGTTACTGAACTGAGTTTGGTTATTAAAGCTAGTGCAAGTATTGATAAAGGAATTCACCACAAGTAAGGAAGTAAGGAGGACACCACAAGTCTATAATGGAGGTTATAGTAAAAAGGTAGCTGTCAACAGGATGACGAATTCAGGGAGAAAGATAGTTAGGAAGGACCGACAAAATAATTTAAAAGAGAACAAGGAGGCATTAATGTGACCACCAGCGAAGGACAATTGGACCATAGGAAGGCCATCGAGAAATTAGAAAGTCATCGGTCAACTTTAAGGTCGGAGTAAGCTCATCTCGATATGTCCCGGATGAAAACCCGATGTGTCAAAGTATTTAAGTGAGGTAAAGCATCTTGGAATCTAGGGGACTACACTGAGGGAAATGCGTTCCAAAGGAGAAAAGGGAAATATCGAGGTAAAGTAAGACAAAGTGAGGTAAATTAAAAGTTGATCCTTACATTCTCAAGGCCTTAAGGAAAGGATATTAGAGTTCAAACCGACCATACTAGAGGGCGATTTTAAGTACCAGGAGAACAATGTGTGAGCTAGCCACTATGTCACCGACAAGGAGCTAACATAATGAATTTAGCCAAAAGAATAGGATTTCGAGGCCTTATGATTTTTGTGGACACGTGATTTGGGAAATGTTGTTATACAAGTAAGGTGGGCGGAATTGAGGGGAATATAAAGATTGTTATGACAGGGGGGCAGCAACCCTAAAGGGGCAAACCTATTACTTGGTTAGTCCATCCTAAACAGAAAGAGTATCTAAACTATGTGACATGTAATAGAAGGATGAAAGGACATCCTGGATGAGTTACAAATAGCA